TCGAGGGGAGGTTGAGCTCAGTTTCAATTAAATATGCCAGGATGAAGGCCGACGGACCGCGCTTGGATGGCGCAGCCACCTCAGCCATACTTCTGCAACATAATGAGGAAAGTAATTTTCTTTTTTTTTAAATATGGAACAAGGGGGCCGGACTGGAGACCACGTCTTCCATGAGACCTGTTGCCTCCTCCCTGTCCGGCCAAATATACAGTAACCAACAATCAGACAGCCACCGCCCTCGACGCTGGATCTTTGAAGGAGGCCACCCGATGGCATACAAGGCTGTAGCTCCACCAGCCCGCAGCGAATGGGTGGCGTGATCAGCAGGGTCCAAACCCAGAGCCACCGCCGCTGCTTTGAGCGCTGTGTTAACTGTGCTACGCTCCAGGACCCTACCGCAGGCTAAGCAGAACACGGGCCGCTTGGACCCGTTGGCTCCGAAGCGGGCTGGGTTCATTGTGTACAGCTGCCTAAGGAGGCATAACGGGTTGATGTCAGACGGCGTGTCACCTGCTCGCAGTTTGATATTGAGCTTGTAACCGTCGTTGTAGATGTCTGTTTTGGAGCCTGGGATGTGGATGACCAACTCGTCCGCTGCCATAATTTGTTCCCACCCCAACTTGTGACCTGCCTGGAAGATGTGGAGATGCTCCATGCGGAGGACCTTGTCCTCGTGGACCACACCATCCTTTGACAGGTATTCACAGGCACGCAGCAAAAGGAGAAACCGAAAGACACCGCGGTGAGTAACAGCAAGTCATCCCACAGCCCAGTGTCCAACCCCAGTTGGATCTGCTTAATATGTGCCACTGTCACCGGATGCTTGCGCTTGGGGGACTTCTGTCGACGCTTCAAGCCAGCCATGGCCATCTTAAGTCGCAACTTGTCCTTGAGAATATCCCTGCCATCTGCGACCAGATGTGCAAACCTGAGTGCATATAGACACACATGAAGGGTGGAATGCTTGTATCCATGGCCTATGCCAGCCCAGTAGACAAATTCCATAAGATCGTTTTCCTCAGCCTCGTCGTCGGTGCCTAACATAAATGGTTTTCGGCGTACATGACGCCATAAGTGCCACTTCTTTAAGGAGGACTCATAGGTCTTCTTTGTGCCTGCGGACAAGCGCTCGTACATGAGCTGCATGCCGCCGTTCTTACAAAACTCCTCCTTGTTGTCCATCGTAATCCCTTGCTCTATGCCCGGAATGCACCGATGTCCGGTCCCTGGAGTGGGTCCAGGAGTCGGAGCGGTTCGCGCAGTGGGCGGAGGCCGGGGAGGAACCAGGTTCCCATGGCCAAGAATTTCTAAGTATCCATGACTCAGATCGTTCCTGAGGTCCGCCTGAGCCAGGGCAGGGTTCAGTACCCTGTACTCCCCATAAGTCCGAGCACGCTTGTACTTCTCATACCTCACGTTGCTCTGGGAGTCCTTCCTCTTGGGATTTACCTGGTTGAAGCGTAGTGGTGTACTGTCGTCGAGATGGCCCCAGCCTTTGCGCTCGCCACATAAGGTCGATAGTCGTCGTCTGGACAGGGGACAACGCCTATTCGACATTTCTCTGCTGTCAGATTGTCCAAAGCCGTAGCCACAGCCTGTTCAGTTGTGACAGGCTCGGGCCGGGAACTTGCCTCGCCGTTTTCGACCATGGTATCAAACCTGTTGATGCTGTCCATGGCACGGTCAGCCATGACGTTAGTCAGGGCCTCACCAATGCTTTCACCTATCATGGCGTACAGGGCTGCCGGCCCGGCTCCTTGGGCACGCAAAAGTTCGTAGTCAGCCATGGAGCTGGGTGACAGTCCCCGCCAATGCTCGTCCGGCTGGTAACCCGCAC